CGACAAATACGGACTTTACCCAAACCCTAATGTCGTGCTGTTGAAATGTCTCTTGTTGAGGAGGGGTCTCTGGGTCAGGGTCGTCTGAGGAGGAAGGAGATGAATGGATGCGTGAACTTTTATTTAAGATTTAAGTTTTTTTATTTCAAAAGATCCTTATGGATCACAGCAGAAGCATAAATATTACTGTTAAGAAAGCTGATGATAAAGTTGAATAAAAATCTAAGTCTGATTCTGAAGGTAAATTAAATCTCTGACAGTGATCATTACACAGTGTGGCTCTAATTCCTCACTTCATCATCTGTGTCGCAGCTTCACGTCTCCAAAATGAGCGTACGTATTGGTCAGAGCTGGCTGAGGGACCGCACATTTTCACATCGAGTTTGGATTTTATAAACCACAACCTTTGCGTGAAAAGTGGCGTACGCACGTTTCTGGGCTCGTATTGTGCATACGCAAGTTTTATAAATCCGACCCCAGTTCAGTACCGATCATGTATTTCTGAGAAGACTGGACAGAGGCGTTGATGGCGTTGGAGCAGCGGAAGGCCAGGTTCTTTCCCATCCCCTCCTCCACATGAGCCAGCAGTTCCTGTCAACAACAACAACAACGACAGGATTCAAAGGTCAGGAAAACAAACAATGCTTCCTCAGACCCTTTTTTTAGCTGCTGTGTAAATTTAAGCTAAGTTCAACTTGACTTTCTCCCTTTATTTAATCTACTAAAAGCTATTACTTCTGATTCTGTTGTCTGTTAGAACGGTACTTCTTTCTTCCACCTCAGCAGCCAGACTGTTGGTTTAGACAACAGGAGGGGAGCAGAATGTTCCTGTAGGCTCAAAGAAAAACTATTCTGCATTAATCTTATTAAATTACTAATCTTAATAAGCACTGATCATAATACAATTGTTGATTTTATTGCACATAACTCGGACAGTATTTTATTTCATCTTCCTAAACCTGCAACTGTAATTTGTCTTAATATAACAGATTTAAAACGAAAGTTATAGGGATAGAATAGGGATTTACTCACAGACTTGTAGACCTTGAGGACGGAAGGTGAGGGATGGAAATCTGTGTGGAACTCATCAACAATCACATGGAGACGGCTGATTTCTTCTCCCATCGCGATGGACACCTGGATGGGAAAAAATAAGGTGGAAAGTCACTTAGTTCACCAGTTGTAGACAACAATTCACAATTATGCTTGAATGAAGAGGATAGTTTTAGATGCTGTGTTGATATGCACTGATTTACTCTGWTGGACTTCAAACAGAATATAAAATCATCAAAGTTAACATTTGAGCCGTTTTATTATTTAAATGGTAAATAATCTGAACTTATCGAGCACATTTAAGTCCCTCCAGACTCCAAAGCACTTTACACTAACAGACATTCGCCCATTCACTCACATTCACACACTGGTGATGGTAAGCTACAATGTAGCCACAGCTGCCCTGGGGCACACTGACAGAGGTGAGGCTGCCATGCACCAGCGCCATTTAAACATTATAGTCTTTGAAGACTCCAACTTTAAAAGGATATTTTGGATTATTTCAAGACAAATAATCAGAGATAACCATGTCTGATCAGAAGTTGTGAAATTATCAATTTATTATAGAATTATTATAGAATAAATAGCACTCTGCAGAACTCAGTTCTTTTTTTTTTTACTTTTCCAAATAAAAGTTGGTAACTATTCACTTTATTCTTTCGTTATTTGGTTAAAGAGATAAAGGTTGAATGTGTTTTTGAGAGAGGTGGGGAGTAGGTCAGGTGGCTCAACTTGGGTTGGAAGTAAAAAAAAAATGGGGGCGGGGCTTTGAGGAAAACAGGTAGGGAAACACACTGCTTTAAATGACCACAATGATCTGAGTTACCTTGGCCTCCACATCCTCACTGATGGCTTTGATCTTCTTCTTAATGTCATCAATCAACAAGCTGAGCTGATTCTTCACAAAGTCCAGCCGGTCCATCTGGTACTCTCTGTCCTCCAGCGCTGCCACACTGAAAACCCGTCCCCACCAACAGGACATTAGCACAACAGCAGCTAAACAAGGTAGTTAAACTTACAAATTCACTACCACCTACACTAATAATTACCAACTTCAATCATTATTTTTGAACCAGGAGGGGGAACAAAACTTATTTCCCTCCGATTTACCTCTAAAATCCCACATGGCACTGATAGAAAAGACAATATCAGTTGAGTAAAAGTCTTAAAATACTCTAACTTAACCAAAAACCAGGAGGGTGAAACCAAACTGCATGCGGAAAAGATGCTCACCGCTTCTCCGCCGCCTCGATGTTGATGGTGTCCATAATGCTCTTGACTTGTTCTGTGATCTGCTTGGCCCTGATTGTGTGCTGCTCAAACTTTGTTTTCACTGCTGACTGCGAGATACACTCCTGCGAGGCCATAACACACACATTACTGTGACGGTTACAGCGGCTGGACGGCGTGCGGGAGTTTGCACGCCGTGTGTGTGTGGGGAAATAAAAACAAATGACAAGATAGACACCTGCTACTTTTTGAATTAAAAGAAATGGAAATAAAGGAGGTGGGGGGGGGGGCAGCAGCAGAGTGTGCATCTTGTAACCCACAGCCAGTAAACTCACAGTTGTGTGTTTGCACAGGTTAAGAAATGAGAGTAAATGAACACAAACAAGAAAGAAAATTATAAAAATGCAAACAAAGTAGAAATATTGCATCAATCAGGAGTACAATAACTGACGAAAAAAATCATAATTTCACTGAATGTCAGTTAACTCCCCATTTAAACAGATCAATCAATTCTTTTCCTAAAACAGACTTTTTAAAACTATGTAGGGTTTTTTTTCTACTGTTGCAGCTGTTGTAAAGACGTTGTAAAGCCATTTCATTCATTAACTACTTAAGTGTCTTTCCTAAGGTTCACATATTTTGGACACAACCTGTTCTCACTCAATGTTTAAAAAAGAAACTTGATCATAAGACGGACTTGGCTTGAATATTTACACAAACACAACTTTTAGTTTCCTCCCTTCTACCTCTGCTTTCAAGGCCGAAGCTTCCAGAGAAGGACGTCAGGGACACGAGCCCTAAAACTATTCTAATAAGAATTGGTTTTAATATCAAAACCCACAGATAGATATAATCAACAGTTAAGTGTTTCATAGTTAAGATGCATTTAAAAACTGAAAGTTGAGAGTTCAAGACAACAGCCTCATAAAGCCTTTTAAAAAGCATATTGTCCTGTTTATGATTGATTGTAATGTAACTAATTGTTATCTAGCATTCCTATTAAACATAATAAATGTATCTAACTGCTGTAGTTTGGGCTTGCTCTGACCACAGGGGACATCTAAATAAGTCACAATTTAAATCTAAAGGATAACGCCTCTAAAATTGATCTTTTCCTCCCAGAATAAAACAATTCATAAAGAAGAAATTAAACATAAGGCTGAAACATAAAAACAGACAAAATCAAAGCCAAATGAAACAGAATGGATGTCCTCACCAGCGTGAATCTAGACTTCAGCAATGAAGACGCAGGTTGATGAAAAAGGCACAGATTTTGATCTAAAGGGTCCTGTGGAAGCCAGCTTCAAATTCTATGAACTAACCAGGAGGAAAATTATGGACTAATTCCTTTAAAAAAATCTACTGTTGTGCTTTGACTGAAAGAAAAGAAGAACGCAGCAGTGTGAAATTGTAGAGGGAGAAAACAGTGAAGGAAGAAAGTAATATCAAAGCTGAAATCTCTTGTTTTGTGATTTATTCTTCACATCTTGATACCTTTTGAAACGTCGTACTAGCAGTTATGTATTTGTCTTTAAAACAAACATTTTATACCTCAAACCTTCTTTCAAAACTTTGGAACTCCTTCAGTCTCTCCTGGAAACCCTCAGCCAAAGCACCACCTGATGATAACATACCAATATTTGTTAATTAATTAATTCATTATTCTTGTGTCACACCATGATTTGTAAATATAAACATTATTTGATAACTTACACATTTTCACTAAGCCAAAAAACATAACTCTAAAAAAATTAATAAGCCTGCACGTCATACGCAAAACATTATTATGCTCACTGAATGTCAATTTGACACATTATAAAAACATTTTTTTGCCAATTGAATTTTACATTTCATACACTCGCCTGTTTCTGGCATGCCCTGTGCACGCTGCATCCGGGAGCTGAGCACCTCTTTGGCAGAAACAAAGAAAATCCGGTTTGGCGCCTGGTCGCGGTCAACAACTTTCAGCTCGTCTACCAGAAAGTTCACGCAACGATCTGTGTGCTGCTTCCTCACCTGAAGGTAGGGTTGGGCAATATTGGCAAAAAAATTAATCACGATTAATTGTGGTATTTAGCCAATAACAATTAATTTGACGATTAATCCCCTGGAGTCCCTGGACACCCTTATGTCTTAGTCACATGACCAATTTAGTGGGAAAGATTTGCTTTATATAAAAAAATTGTTCCAAATTGTGTGAAAATTACACATTTCAGTCTATACATCACATTTGAAACTGTGTTGATAGATAAATAAATTACAGAACTTTATTTTTAATGTTGGTCATATTTGAAGCAGAGAGGAGCACTGAGCAGACTCTGTCTGGTGGCATTAATCTTATTAATCGTCAAGTGCCAAAAAGTAATCGATTATTGTTTTTCTGATGAATAATTGCACACGATACGATTATAYCCAACYTTAACTGAAGGAAAAAAACAAGTGGTAAAATGTGATTTTACAGGGAAGTTAGTTTTTGATTAAAATGGGCGTTTAACTCACGTCCTCCATGTATTCTGGTTCRTTTGCTGAAGCATCCCAGCGATTGTTCAAGATGAAGATGTTTGGCTTTGAGAGACGTTCATTTACTTTATGGAAGAAGTGTTTTTCCTTAAAGAGAGGAGGAAACATGGGTAAGGACCTGTGATGTTTAACATTGCTCCGAACATTTCAGAGTGGAAAAAACAGAAACTGATACGGAAACCACTTTTTCTCATTAATTTGCAGAAAAAGGCTCAGTTTTGTTCATCTTTAAACGCTAAATACATGCTTTGTTTGGTACAAGTCAAACAATATTTTATTACAGATTTCCACTGGATAGTTAAGGGAGGGAAATTACGCAAAATCAACTTTTTATTATTATTTATTTAACTTTTTGAGCTTTATATCCTATTATAACATCATTCCATCTAGGGCTGCCACGATTAATCGATTAATAGACGACTAATCGATTATTAAAATAATTGATGACTAATTTAATAATCGATTAATCGTTTTCT